TATCACAAACTACTGAGTCTATCTCTTCATCCTCCCTGACTTGATTTCATTGGAAACATGAAAGTCAAAAATCTCTTCCAGGATCAAAGATTAAAACATAGATTCTATGACCTGAGTATGTGTGTGGTCCCCTGGGGCTCAGACCCAGGTTCTGGTCCATGCTAAACAAGTGCTGTATCACTGAGTCTCACACACACCCCAAGCTCTATGACTTAGATATTAATATATAGATCCGTTATCTACACTATTCATAATCGATCTATCCCCTGATGACTTCTTAAGCTAAAAATATGATTAGGTCAGAAATGCAAATAGTGCACCTTGCCTACAGAACCTCATAGCTTAGTACATAGCACACTGTAGAGTGTTTCTTTTCCCCTCCTAACCTGCTAGCTGTCTGGAAACTGCAGCCTGTGACCACTATCCAGCATGCAGAGAACCTCAGAGTACCCTATGTACCAATACTGCCAGCCTAGTACAAGTTAAATCAAACCCCACAAAACAAGTTAAATGAATGTTAAGACTTTCCCATTATTTCGAACCATCTTAAGTCTTGACATCGTGAGTCAGCCATCACTTCTACAACCAGATCCTTGTATAGCACAGTGATAATAATCCAACAGCATTTAAGTTCCCTGTTCACTCGGAAAATTGTGCACTCATTGAAGAAAGAAAAGGTCTCTCCCCATGGACAGCCACTCACCTATTCCTTCTCTCTCTAGAAGCTAAGGAAGCATAAAGACATAAAACCAGCGGCCCTTTCCTTGCTGCCCACTTCTTTGGTTAAGTGAAAACACCAGCCAAGAACAAGGCATCAGAGAAAGTGCTAACTGGATCCCCAAGAAGTTGCCAGGAAAGCTGGATCTGAAGTTGATTTTCTTCCTTCCTTCTCTCTTGCCTTTCATTCCCCTTCCCTTTCTCTTAAAACCACTTAAGACTGTTGCTTGAGAGGTACTGACCAATCTTCCCCTCCCATTTTTCAGCAATTAAATTCCAAACAGCTCTATACTAGTGTTCACGGACCTGTCCTTATGTTATCAGCAAGGAAGACCCCTGCTATCATCAAATCTCCACAATGGCAGGAAGATGTAAGCGTGGTGTCCCAGTCTATCACCCGAGAACTGGGAAGACTAAGACAGAATCTCTAGAATTGTGGGTATTGCTCACCTTCCCCCACCTTTTCCCTCTTTGACCTCCTTTTGTACTTTACTGGTCCAGGAACCCTGAGAGTGTGAGGAGAATGAATAAGAAGACTTGGCTGTTAATTGCCAGGAGGTTTCAAGTGGGTTCACTTGTACCCTGGCTTTGCTCCACCCTTCCATAGGGTAATTTTCTGGAGGAAATGTGCGGGCCTCTCTCAATCCTGATTCCACTCCTCCACCTAAAATATTCACGGCTTCCGCAAACCTGAGGAGTCCGGCTGGCTGCATGGCACACGCTTGTAACCCCTGCTTCAGGAGTTGGAAACATGAAGGTCAAGCAGCCTTGCTGCGAAAGGGGTCCGACTCTCTCTCTAACTCTGAGGCCCCGCCTCTGCCCCACACACAACCTGAGGGGAAATGCCTGCATGCTGTAGACTTGTTGGATGTGAACTATCCAAGCCGTGAAACACCCGGGGATCTGCCGCGTGAGCTTTTCACTGCTCGCTCAGGAACCTCATATTCTCCCCGTGTACATCAGCCCTGCCTGGGGCTTGGCAGTGCCTCAGCTGGCTTAGTCTTCCCCAGTGCCCATCCTCAGAGGACCGCAGCCTCCTGAAGGGCCTGACTCCACGGGAACAGAGAGGCTTGAACTTCTGCCTCACGTTAGGAATCCATTATGCAATGGCCACACTTTAACTCGCAGACCTTTGATCCCGTTATGCCTGTAAACCACCCACCTCGGGTGGCGGCCGGCCAAGGTCAGAAATTTAGATTTTAAGAAGCCCAATGCCGCAACTTTTTTCCCTGCCTATGGTTGATCATCACTGGTATCACCTGCCCTAGGAAATCCAATTTTCCAGAATTAAGTATTTACTTCTGGGATTGGGAGTCGGAGACAGGAAGGGTTCCTGAATGCCTGATACAGCTTTGCTAATTCTAGTACTACGCAGGTGGAGGTGAGTTCCAGACCGGCCTGGACTACAGTAAAAACAAAACAACAACACAAAGAGAACAAGACACACAGCTGCTCTCCACCTCTGCTCCACCTCTCCAGTCCCAGTAAGGCATTTTCTTAGTGATGGATGGGATAGGGCCCAGCTCACTGTGGGTGGGGCCATCCCTAAGCTGCTGATCCTGGGTTCTATAAGAAAGGAGGCTGAGCAAGTCATGAGGAGCAAGCCAGCAAGCGTCACCTCATGGCCTCTGCATCAGATCCTGCCTCCAGGTTACTGCCCTGTTTGAGTTCCTGTCCTAACTTTCTGCAGTGATGAACACTGATCTGGAAGTGTAAGTCAAATAAACTCTTTCCACTCTAACTTGCTTTCTGATCTTCTTGTTTCATCATAGCAATAGAAACTTTTGTTTGTTTGTTTTCAAGACGGGGTTTCTCTGTAGCTTTGGAGCCCCTATCCTGGAACTAGTTCTTGTAGACTAGGCTGGCCTTGAACTCACAGAGATCTGCCCTGCCTCTGCTTCCAGAGTGCCGGGATTAAAGGCCTGTACCACCACTGCCAAGCCTAGCAAAAGAAACGTTGAGAGAGTACCTTTGTGTGTTTACTAACTCCTAAGCAAATTGCAGCTCTAGTGTTGACAATATTTAGATCACAAGGCAAGCACAGAACAACCGAGATCCAAAATCTGAATATAGTAGCTGATGCAAGCAGTGTACAATGTTTGCCTGACATACAGAAAGCCCTGGGTTCCTTACCCAGTACCACAAATAAAAATCTGAACATAAACTCTATCCAGACTCCAGATTGGCTACCTAAAAAAATTCATGATTGTAGAAAAGCCAGATCATGCAGGAGATCTATCCTTAAGTAGCAGAATCTGTCTTGGTGGGATTTACAAATTTGCACTTTTGCCCCCACTCCCCCCACCCCCCTCCCGCCTTCAATCAACACAGACTGAAGCAGAAAAAGTCTTGATAGACGGTCAGGTGCTTTCAGGGATCTAGTAATCTCAGCACTAGAGATAGGATTGCAGCACACTTGCAATCAGTCTAGATTACAGAGAAAGACCCTGATTAAAAATTACAAAACAAAACAAGCAAAGAACCCTTAATGACATAAATCACTAACATCCAGAATTCTTAGCTGTTAGTATGATTGGAAATTTTGGAGAAATTATAGAAACTAGATGACTATAGGTAGGGTGGGTACAGAAGTTTGAATAGAAACTGACCAAATCTTTGTTGATCACTAAATTACACAGATGTAGAAAAAAGACACTTAAATACCCCATTCCAAAAGTAGAAATTTGAGCGTAGGAAAGATGGAGCAAGCCAGGCGGTGGTGGTGCACGCCTTTAATACCAATACTCGGGAGGCAGAGGCAAGTGGATCTCTGTGAGTCCGATGCAAGCCTGGTCTACAAGAGCTAACTTCAGGACAGGCTCCAAAGCTACAGAGAAACCCTGTCTCAAAAAGAAAAAAAAAATCAAAAAAAAAAAGAAAGAAAGAAAGAAAAGAAAAAAATAAATAAAAATGGAGCATACTCACCACAAACTGCTCAGCCAAGGCTGACATGATGGGGAGCAGCTGAAGCAAGTACCAGTATGTTAAGATATACAAAACAAAACCCAGCCTGAGGATGCAACTTAGTGAAAGGGCATTTTCTTAGTATGATGTAAGATCTCAAGTTTGAGACTTGGCAACATAAGAACATCTTGTCAAAAAACCAAAACAAACAAAGAAACAAAACCCACCACCTCCTAACAATCACAAAGACTAACACAAAGTTTCCAGATTTCTAAAATAGAAAAGTCTTGAGGGCTGCTCTTGCCGAGAACTGAGATTAGTTCTCAGCACCCACATGAAGGGTCACAACCCTCCATAACTCCAGTTCCAGGGGATCAGACACCTTCTGGCCTCTGGGAATACCAAGCATGCAAGCGGTGCACAGCGTGTAGATCCAGGCAAAATGTATACCCATACACATAAAACACAAAGGAAATAAATCCCTTGCCCTCTCTTCCCCTTCCCCCCCCCCCCCCCCCGCTCGGAATCTGACATTCCAATGGGTCATATCCATCTGAAAAGTGGTCCTCTAGTTAAAAGCTCCTCAGCCTGTCTGCAACTGAACCCACCCCTGAAGCATTGATGTTTCAGTCTGAATTTCCTGTGTCCCTTTCTCTCGGGTTTCCACCCACCATTCATTCCTTTTGAACTCTCCTGGTCTCAGTGCCTTTATTTTCACTTCTGGGGCCTCCCTGTTTTCCCAGGACAAAGCCCTGGGTGTCTCTAGCTCCTCCTCCATCTTATTTGTGGAGTTCTGGGTTGGTTCTCAGGAGGGACATCCCAGCACAATGGGAGCGAGAAGGAGCTCTGTAGTCAACCGGGAGCCTTTTGTCGCGAGTCAGAGTCCTCTAGTACTCAAGGGAGGGACGCATCTGTGTTTGCGTGACCTGAACCTGACGCAGTTTTGAATATTTAGCCAGAGGCTCTAGTAGCTGAAAGCTTTGGACCATGGGGAAGTTTTCGCGGGAAGCTAGAGAACTGGGGTCGTCTGTCCTCAACATCATGGCCACACGAGGGCGCTGCTGCTCTATCCTCTTAGATTGTGTAAGCCTGGAGAGATGATTGTTTGGGAATCAGCCAGAAAGGGCCCACTGAAGGCTGAGCCAGGGTGTAGGGGATGAAGATGCATCTGAGAGTCCAGGACTACACAGTAGTTGGAAGAAAGTAGAGCTGTTATAAGGCATCCTGTTGTGTCTCTTAGTATTCCCCTCTCCAACCCCATGATGTCAACATTACTTTCCACTTTCTGTTCTATCCCAGAGGCTTGAAAGTTGTTTTTTTTTTTTTTTTTATTTTGGGGGAGGGATTGGGGGGCATGCTCCTACACATAGGAGCAGATCTGGAAATTTAACCCATTCAACCCAAGGCACAGAGAAAAAAAACAATGTATCACTGAACACTCCAGCCCCTAAATACTATTTTGTAAACATGATCTTTTAAATTTTAGAATGTATGGGGCTGGACAGATGGTTAAGAGCACTTATAGATCTTGCAAAGAACCTGAATTGATTCTCAGCACCCACAGATGGCTCACAATACCTGTACCTCCAGCTACTTTGTCTGTCTGTCTGTCTCTCTCTCACACACACACACAAATCTTAAACTGAAATTTTAAGATTAAAATTAAAATGCTTTTAGATTTCTAAAAAACACTGTAAAGTTGAGGCACAGAGTCTCCAGCTTCTCTGCTTAAAATATCCTGCAATCTGGAGATACAGATCAATGGTTAAGAGCACTGTCTGCTCTTGTAGAGGACCCAGGTTTGGTACAACACTCACATAGTGGCTCACAGTCACCTTCTGACAACCATATGTGCTCCCCATGAGCACATAAATGTAGAACATGAACTCCTACAAGCACACAGGTACATGAAAATAAATCTCGCATCACCATACATTTATAATTCATGAAACAATATAGACACATTCATCTATACCTATTTCATTTCCACTCTCGTTATCACTAATGTCCTTTGTCTTTTCTAAGATGCTATTTAAGGCACCACACATTCAGTCTCAATTGATCCTTACGGCTTCTCTGGCTGTCACAACTGCTCTGACTTTCCTTGGTTTTGATGACCTTGACACTTGAGGACTGGGGCAGCACATTAAGAATGTTGTTTGACTTGAGTATGACTGGGACCATGCTTTGAAGAAGCCCAGGGACATGAAATGCTGCCTGTACCATGTCAACGAACCACACCCTTGACTTGTCCTTTATGTTTCAGGAATTCTCACTGCTTGCATGTTTCATCTTGTCTTCCTGGATTTCATTGTTTCATCTTTTCTTCCCCTGAGAACTCCTTTACTTCTCAAGTATTTCCTGGCTTCAAAGGGATCATCAAGAAAGGCAAGCAAATGACCCAGGATTTCCCAGCACTTAATGGGTCTGCCTGATTCTTTACAGCACATGTGATCCAGCAGGCTTTCCTTTTCCCTAAAGCAGATGTCACAGACAGGGCAACAGTAGATACTCTGCTTTCTGAGGGTGCTCTTTTGGGGATCTACCACCACGGATGAGTGGGAGGACTCTCTGCAACGCAGGGATGAGTGGGAGGACTCTCTGCAACGCAGGGATGAGTGGGAGGACTCTCTGCAACGCAGACATTGGTTAGGCTCATTTTCGAAGTGAAGCTTGAGGTGGGTTAAGAAGCAGGTCCTCTTGGTAAAACGTATCAAACAATAGGGACAATGGATGTTTCTTCTTGAGCATTTTACTGGAATAGAGCTGGATCTGACATTCAGGGATGAGTCTCTGCTGCCACTTGCCTTAGCCCTGGCCACTGGTCCCTGGATCACCTTCACATGCCTGAGGTTGGGACCTTGGGATCCAGCTGTTGTGAGTGGAACCTTCTTCACCTCATGCTCCTGGTTGCCAGTCACTGGCTTCCTGTTTTCGTGTACCTTCATGTGGCGTTTGACCTCAGACTGATCCCGGAAGCGTTTTCCACACACAGAGCATGAACTAGGCCTATAACCTAAGTGAGTGCGTCGGTGACGGCTCAGTCCAGAGGGATCACGGTAGTTCTTGTTACAGAGCTGGCACGAGAAAGTCCTCTCTCTACGATGCTGAGGCTTGGCGGCCCTGACTTTGTGCCTAGTAGTCTTCTGGGCCTTAAACTGGTGATTAAAGAGGTTGATGTACTTTTTGTAACACTTGCCACAGGTCAGGCAGAAATAGAGTGGTCCGCCTTTGAACATCCCTGTACAAACAAGAGAGGCCTTCTCCTTATCATTGCTCTCTTCATCTTCCAGATTGGAGCTAGGTCCCTGAGAATTCCTCTTCTTGCTCCCTGTGGTGGAGGAGGGAAAATACACAGTTTGCCACTGACAATGTCACCAACACAATGTTTTCACTCAGTAGGAGTCACTTTCCGTTTCCCCAATCTCTAAACTCAACCTTTCATCCTTGGATCTTATAGGATAGAAATAGAAAAAACCAATAAAAAGAATAATGAGAGCTAGTAAAAATTTCAAAGGAATCTTCTAAGATAGAAATATCTGAATACTAGCTTACATCTTGGAAATCCATCCTCTCAAGCTTAATATTGCTCAGATTCTCACAGGCGAAAGACCACATAGTAAGCAGTAGTCTCTCCTCATCCCTGATTTCACATGTGTCTGTCACAGTCCCAAAATATCAAAGGTTGAATTCCCCACTGTAAGACCACATTTACATAACTTTCTAACATACATTATGATTATCCAATTTTGATAGTATTTTAGTTTAATTTATTACTGTGTCTAGTATTAAAAAAAATCAGAACTCAGGGGCTGGGATGTAACTCAGCAGTAGGACACTTGCCTAGTAAACACAAAGCCCTGGGTTCAATCCCCTCCGTAAAAACAAAAAACACATAAATTGGGCCCAGAGCTAATTGTGCCTGTAGCTCTGGAAACCACTGAAACAAAATCCCTTCAGAACAAGAGCTCACCCCAGTGTTGGGAAGGCAAACCATGCAAGCAAGTGCTCTCTCTCAGTGAGCTAGGCCAAGGGAAAACTACGTTATCAAGTAAATTGGGGGTGAAAAGTTATGCTATTGATTATGAACAATCAACTGGGTTAAAGAGGCAGCACAGCAGAACTGTCTCAGACTGGGAGGTGTGAACAACCTAAATTAGCACACCTCTCAAAGACTAAGCCTTCCTTATTCTTACCTTAGGAACAAGCTTATTCTTCTCCATGTCCACATTGTTTCTCTTGGGAAGACCTTGTTGACCAAAGGGAAACTGACACAGTGACCCACATGTGACCTCTCGATTCCTAGAAACTAGATTCCTTGTTTTGAAAGTCTTGGCTATCCATTATGAAGTCAGTGGACTTAAACCTTGATCTCAAGGTTTCTTCAAGTCCCAAGTCTAATCAGGATGAAAAGGTATAGATATTGAGATGATCTACTGAGTTCAAACCCTCTAAGACAGCTCTGAATTCTGCGACTGTTCTCGGTCCTTTTTATCTTGCTTTCTCCTTTGGCATTTATTTTTCAATTTTAAAATTATACTTTTATTATTTTGTACCCATTTTTGCATGCATATACATGCTACAACATGCTTAATAAGTAAGCAGACAGCTTGTTGGTTTGATTCTTTCCTTCCAAATACATATTAAATTCCAATTGCAAGCATTGGTGGCAGGCGTTTTTAACCACTGCACTGTTTGCTTACCCTTGGTTTTGTGAGATGAGAGGGCCTCAAATACACTATGAGGCTGAGGTGTTGGGGTTGAAGATGTGAAATACCATATCCAGCTTCCTTTGTCATTCTTACCTATTGCCTTTGTGGGACAGAGACCTGATCTCTTCTGTCTTCTTTCTTTTTGCATGGCGTACTGATCTGGGGTATAGGCAGAAAATATTTAGGCAATGAGTAGAGATATAGTTTGGGTGGGTGAGAGGCACATACCTAATATACATGCAAAATGTTCATATACATAAAATAAACACAAAAAGTCAAGTTTTGTTTTATTGTAAGGAACAACAATTTATGACACTTGGTTGCAGGAAAGACATTTAACAAGGCAGCTTCTAGCCTGGAGGTGGTGGTGCACACCTTTAATCCCAGCACTAGGGAAGCAAGGCAGGTGGATTTCTATCAGTTCAAGGCCAGCCTAGTCTACAAAGTGAGTTCCAGGACAGTCAGTCAGAAGTGTCCCACAGAGAAACCCTGTCACAAATAAAAAACAAAACAAAACAAAACAAATCAGCTTGTAGTATAATGCCTTGCACACAAGTTTAAGTAAATATTGTTGGATATAGGGAGTTAGTTTTCAAGATAGTCTGTCTATGTAGTCCAAGCTGGCCTCCATCTCTATAACCAAAGTTGAAGTTTAAATGTGTGATCCTACTGCATCAGCCCCAGAAGTGTTTGGATTTTAGGCTTTTGTCAACACACCAGGCCTGAACAGGCAATTTTAAATATTTTCACAATATGGTGATAGTGATAAAATTGTCTTGGGTTCAACGCAATGCCCATCAAAATCCCAGCAAAATTCTTCAAAGACACCAAAAGAACGGTACTCAACTTCATATGGAAAAGCAAAAACACCCTGGTTAGCCAAGACTATCCTGTACAATAAAAGAACTTCTGGAGGCATCACAATCCCTGACTTCAAACTCTACTACAGAGCTACAGTATGGAAAACAGCCTGGTATTGGCATAAAAACAGACAGGAGGACCAGTGGAACTGAACAGAAGACTCGTTTATCAATCCACACACGTCGAACACCTGATCTTTGATAAAGAAGCCAAAAATATCAAATGAAAACAAGAAAGCATATTTAACAAGTGTGGCATAACTGGATATCAACATGTAGAAGAATGAAAATAGATCCCTATCTATCACAATGCACAAAACTCAAGTCCAAATGGATCAAAGATCTCAAAATAAAGCCAGCCACACTGACCCTCATAGAAAAGAAAGTGGGAAGTACACTTGAATGCATTGGCACAGGGAACCACTTCCTAACTATAACCCCAGCAGCACAGACACTGAGAGAAACAATTAATAAATGGGACCTCCTGAAACTGAAAAGCTTCTGTAAAGCAAAGGACACGGTCAACAAGACAAAACGAAAGCCTACAGAATGGGAAAAGATCTTCAGTAACCCCACATCAGACAGAGGTCCAATCTCCAAAATATACAAAGAACTTAAGAAATTGGACACCAAAAGATGACATAATCCAATAAAAAGAATGGAGTACAGACCTAAACAGAGAACTCTTAACAGATGGATCTAAAATGGCTGAAAGACACTTAAGGAAATGTTTAACATCCTTAGTCATCAGAGAAATGCAAATCAAAACAACTCTGAGATTCCATCTTACACCTGGAAGAATGGCCAAGATCAAAAACTCTGATGACAACTTATGCTGGAGAGATTGTGGGGAAAAGGGAACACTTCTGCACTGCTGGTGGGAATGCAAGCTGATACAGCCCCTTTGGATGCCAGTGTGGTGATTTCTCAGAAAATTAGGAAACAACCTTCCTCAAGACCCAGTAATACCACTTTTGAGTATATATCCAAAGGATGCTCAATCGTGCCATGAGGACATGTGCTCAACTGTGTTCATAGAACCTTTGTTTGTCATAGTCAGAACCTGGAAACAACCTAAATGATCCTTGACCGAAAAATGGATAATGAAAATTTGGTACATTTACACAATAGAGTACTACACGCAGAAAAAAATAACGACAGCTTGAATTTTGCAGGAAAATGAATGGAGCTAGAAAAAACTATTTTGAATGAGGTAACCCAGACACAGAAAGACAGTTATCACATGTACTCACTCATAGGTGGCTTTTAAACAAAAAGCAAAGAAAGCCAGCCTACAAACCACAATCCCAGAGAACTTAGACAACAATGTGGACACTGAGAGACTTACATAGATCTAATCTACATGGGAAGTAGAAAGTAGAAAAAGACAAGATCTCCTGAGTAAATTGGGAGCATGGGGACCTTGGGGGAGGGTTGGAGGGGGGACCTGAGAGGCAGGGAGGGGATCAGAGAAAAATGTAGAGCTCAATAAATATCAATTTAAAAAATGTAAAAAAAAATCATCTTGGGGTTGGGGAAGTAGCTCAGTACATCAAATGTTTGCCGTGCAATCTTCAGTGCTCGAGTTTGACCCCTAGAACCCACAAAAATAAAAACCAGGTATAGTAGAACTTGAATGTAAAGCCGGTATCAGGAAACAGACAGGTAGATTCTTAGGGCTCACTGGCCAGTCAGTCTAACTGAATCAGTGAGTTCCAGATTAGTGCGTCACTACTAAAAACAAAAAGAATACAAGGGCCAGCTTGTTGGGGTATCTGTCCTGCACAGTACCCCACAGCCGGCAAGTCCCAGAGAAAATCAACCACACAGAGATCTCTATAAGTTATAAAGCTGATTGGCCCATGTTACCCCATTATCCTTATCTACATTAGCCACATGGCTCCATACCTTTCTCAGCTAGGCAAGTTACATGCTGCCGCCTCTTCGGTGGTCTGCACAGGAGTGGCAGAGGGAGCTTCCTCCTCCATAGCCTTATCCTATTCTCATTGCCCCGCCTCTACTTCCTGTCTGGTTGACCCGCCTATACTTCCTGCCTGGCCAATCAGCGTTTTATTAAAATACATGATTGACAGAATACAGACAATTTTCCCGCACCAAGGGTGGATGATGTGCTAAGGAATGAAGGCCCAAAGTTGACCCTGTCTTCCATGTGAACACTTAAGTATACATGCACATACATGTACACACACAAAACATTATCTTTGTCTTTCTACAGGGTGTTTTTGTTTGTTTTCAGGTTTATTTTATTTTAATTTGCTTTGTGTGTGTTGGGTGTTTTGCCTATATGTACACCACATACATGCCTGATAACCACAGAAGTCAGAAGAAGGTGTGGGACCCCTGGAACTAGAGCTACAATGTTTGTACACCACGTGAGGGCTGGAAGCAGAAGTCAGGTCCTCTGCAAGAAGAACAAGTGCTCTCTTAACCTCTGAGCCCCCTCTCTAGGCTTGCATAGGCGTTTTGTCTTAAAGTTTCCATGTAGCTGAGAAACACCCTTGACGTCCTAGCCTTCCTATCTCCACTTCCAATGCAAGCTCACATACAAGTCTACGCTTTGAGACTCAGATCTTCCAGGTATAGAACTAGGGGCCAACTTTGATCTAACTGAGCAGAAAAAACAAATCAAACATATATTCTAAGGCTATAGGACAGAGAGAGTGTTGAGGGAGTCATGGTCTCTTACCTACAAATGTCAGGTTCTTAAAGGTTTCTGACTGCACTTTCCGGTAAAGGATCTTCTGTTTCTCAGTCAGACATGCCCATTCTTCGTTGGTGAAATCCACGGCTACATCCTCATAAGTGACTGGTCTCTGGAGGGACTGGGCAGACTTAAAAAGGTAAACACAGAGAACTAAGTGACTTATACCTGACAATGCGGGGTTTTTTTTTTTTTTTTTTTTTTTTGCCAAAAACTGTTGTATGCCTGAGCTTCCAGGGCAAGAGCTCTTCCAAGATGCTAGCCTGCTTCTGGTCAACATCTTATGAAAGACTCTTATTTGGCCCCATGTGCATGGTGATGTGCACTTTAAAATCCTGAGATATTCTCAAGGTTTAGAAAATTCAGACCATGAAGAAAGAACAAGTATGAATAAGGCGCAAAATAAGGGGTAGTGATTTGCCAAAAGGAAAGGATGATACAGAACAAGGAGGAAATCACTGAATATGATGAAGAGAAGGAAAGGAATATTAACCGCCGCTCTTACAGAACCTGTGCAGGTTGCTAGGGTGGGATCAGAGAAAATCATGAAATTCTTTTCTCCCCTATTGTTTTGTCTGAGACAATCTGAAGTTCCAAGAGATCCAGAGGCAGAGGAGTTGGTAAAAGATCTCAGAGAGTCTAAGGCCTCCATTTCTCCACCCAATCTTCTCTCTTCCACTGTTAAATTTCACTCGAGATCTCTGTGTTATATTCATATGTGTCTTCCTCTACCCTAGTTTTTTGAAAATTTTACTGTTGCACCTCATTTGTGTGTGTGTGTGATTTTGTTTTGTTTTGTGTAAGGATTGAAAACCTCAGCTGTGTACTCATGTTTGTACAACAAGTACTTTACACACTGAGCCATTTCCCCTAATCCTCCACCATGATCTCTCTTCCGGGCTTCTGTAGAGTGGCTTACACACTACTATTCCAAGGCGGTGTGTCCTTCTTTAGCTGTGTCTCTTTCTGGTTTTAATCTCTTCTGGCTTGGTCCCTAAGAATAATGGGACTCCTTGTGACTCTACCTCCCAGGAACTGGGCAAATAGGGAGGCCCTACAAGGCCCTAGAAATTGATACTGCTTCTTGTAACAAAGTATCTACTCTAAAGGACTGTCTTCCTTGAATGGTCAGATGTACAATTCTCCTTTTTCACAACTGGTAACTTTAGTTCTCTCAAAGCCAGGCTGTAGATTCAGGGATCTGGTTACCTGTTTCTTGCTTCCCATTGTTTGGTGATACCAGGCTCCTACTAGGTGTTTGATGTCTATTCCAGACTGCTTCTAGCCACTATTTGTTGGTTTCCACTTCTAGAAACCTGAAGTTAGGGGAAAATATACAATATCAGCAAAAGGAATAAGAAGCAAGTACTTCCTTAGCACACAGTCACTAACTTCCTCTACTGGAATGGAACCTTCTCAGCAGTACCATTTTAAGGTAGCAGTTAATGGTTCCATCTTCCAAATCTCAAGTGGAGGGGCATTAAATCATTCACTCAAGGATAGTTGACCCATGGGAGTGTGAGTTCTTTAGTTCTAGCTACAGTACCACTGAAAAACACATACCAGAATTTATCACAAACTACTGAGTCTATCTCTTCATCCTCCCTGACTTGATTTCATTGGAAACATGAAAGTCAAAATCTCTTCCAGGATCAAAGATTAAAACGTAGATTCTGTGACCTGAGTATGTGTGTGGTCCCCTGGGGCTCAGACCCAGGTTCTGGTCCATGCTAAACAAGTGCTGTACCACTGAGCTTCACACATACCCCAAGCTCTATGACTTAGATTTTAATATATAGATCCATTATCTACATTATTCATAATCGATCTATTCCCTGATGACTTCTTAAGCTAAAAATATGATTAGGTCAGAAATGCAAATAGTGCACCTTGCCTACAGAACCTCATAGCTTAGTACATAGCACACTGTAGAGTGTTTCTTTTCCCCTCCTAACCTGCTAGCTGTCTGGAAACTGCAGCCTGTGACCACTATCCAGCATGCAGAGAACCTCAGAGTACCCTATGTACCAATACTGCCAACCTAGTACAAGTTAAATCAAACCCCACAAAACAAGTTAAATGAATGTTAAGACTTTCCCATTATTTCGAACCATCTTAAGTCTTGGCATCACGAGTCAGTCATCACTTCTACAACCAGATCCTTGTATGGCACAGTGATAATAATTCAACAGCATTTAAGTTCCCTGTTCACTCGGAAAATTTTACACTAATTGAAGAAAAAAAAGGTCTCTCCTTATGAACAACCACTCACCTATTCCTTCTCTCTCTAGATGCTAAGGAAGCATAAAGACATAAAAACCAGCGGCCCTTTCCTTGCTGCCCACTTCTTTGGTTAAGTGAAAACACCAGCCAAGAACAAGGCATCAGAGAAAGTACTAACTGGATCCCCAAGAAGTTTCCAGGAAAGCTGGATCTGAAGTTGATTTTCTTCCTTTCTTCTCTCTTGCCTTTCATTCCCCTTCCCTTTCTCTTAAAACCACTCAAGACTGTTGCTTGAGAGGTTCTGACCAAGCTTCCCCTCCCATTTTTCAACCATTAAATTCCAAACAGCTCTATACAAGGAAGACCTCTGCTATCATCAAATCTCCACAATGGCAGGAAGATGTTGGAGCTTGGTGACCCAGCCTATTTTTTTAAAAGATTTATTTATTATGTATATAATGTTTTGCCTGCATGCCAGAGGAGGGTACTAGATCTCACTGTAGATATTGGGTTACCATGCGGTTTCTGGAATTGAACTCAGGATCTCTGGAAGACCAGCCAGAAATCTTAACCTCTGAGCCATCTCTTCAGTCTGTGACCTAGGCTATTACCCAAACACCTGGTAAACTGAGGCAGGATCTCCTTGTGTTCTGGGACAGCCAGGGCTACACAAAAAGCAACACACACACACACACACAAAAGATAGCAGAAAGCAGTCTTATGAGACAGTCTGGGCTACATAAGTCTAAAAAACAAAACCAACTCAGAACACAGAATAACAGGGAGCAGTCTTTGAAACGAATTTCGGCTACTTGAGAAGACTGACCGATATTGCTTACCTCCACCCATCTCCTTCCTCGTTTACCTCCTGTTGTACTTTTCTGGTCCAGGAACCTTGAGAATGAAAGAAGACTGAATAAGACTTGACTGTTACTAGGAAGTGGGTTCACTTGTGTGTCCTGTCCTGGCCCCGCCCTTCCATAGGGTAAATTTCTGGAGAGAATGCGCGGGCATTTCTCAATCCCGAGTCCTCTCCTCCAGCTAAAATTTATTCACAAATCTGAATAAATCTGAGGGGTCGGGCTGGTCCCCATAGCACAGACTCGTAATCCCTGCGCTCAGGCGGCCGATCAGGCAGTCTTGACGCAAAACATCCTGTCTCTCAGTCTCTTTCTCTAAATTAGAGCCCCCCCCCCCCGCCCCCCCCCCCCGCCCGCCTCTCTCACACACACACAACCTGAGAAATGCCCGCGCAATGTAAGCTTTGCTGGATGTGCCCAACCCCAGTCGAGAAAGCCTCGGGATTCAGCCGAGTGAACTTTTTCACTGTCTTGCCAAGCAGGGAGGCTTCTACCAGCTAGCGATCGGTCCCCTCGTGGCTCAGCCCGGAGCTCTCACGTTCTCAACGGATCCATCAGTCCTGCAGTCCCTTGATTGGCGTACAGTCTTCCCCAGTGCTCGACCTCCAAGTGGTGGCCCCTTACCGAGCACAACCACGCCTAGAACTCCATCCCCCACCCAACCTCGTCTCCCCCCCTCCCCTTCCCTAGACCGCAGCTCCCTGAAGGGCCGTTTGCATTGGAGCCCTGACCGGAACACAGTGGCGTGAACTCAGGAAAGCGCTGCTGCCCCAAGTCAGGAATTCGTTACTCAGTGGCCACGCTTTGACTTATAGTCCCTCTGCTTCCGCTCTGCAGGTAACCCACCTCTGCCCGCCGAGGTCAGTAATTTAGCACAATACCAAGCCTTCTTGCCCCGCCTCCGTTCGGTCACCACTGTCTCACCTACCTCATAGCCTAGGAAATCCCAGTTCCCAAAATATCTGAAAGCATATCTCAATTTTGGTAATTCCAGTACTAGGCGGGTGGAAGCGAATTCCAATTCGGCCCGGACTACACAGTAAAAACAAAACAAAACAAAAAAAGAGAACACATAAGACACACAACTGCTCTCAACCTCTGATCCACCTCTCCAATCCCAGCAAGGCACTTCTTAAATAGTGATGGATGGGGGAGGGCCCAACTCATTGTGGGTGCTGCCATCCCTCTGCTGCTGATCCTGGGTTCTATTAAGAAAGGAGGCTGAGCAAGTCATGAGGAGTAAGCCAGCAAGCATCACCTCATGGCCTCTGCATCAGATCCTGCCTCCAGGTTACTGCCCTGTTGAGTTCCTGTCCTAACATTCTGCAGTGATGAACACTGATCTGGAAGTGTAAGTCAAATAAATCCTTTCCACTCTAACTTGCTTTCTTGGTGTTTCATCATAGCAATAGAAACTTTTGTTTGTTTGTTTTCAAGACGGGGTTTCTCTGTAGCTTTGGAGCACCTATCCTGGAACTAGTTCTTGTAGACCAGGCCAGCCTTGAACTCACAGAGATCTGCCTGCCTCTGCTGGGATTAAAGGTGTGCACCACCGCTGCCAGGCCTAGCAAAAGAAACTTTAAGAGAGTACCTTTGTGTGTTTACAAATTTCTAAGCAAATTACTGCAGCCCCAGTGGCTCTGGTGTTGACAGTATTTAGATCACAGGCAAGCACAGAAGGACCAAGATCCAAAATCTGAATATAGTAGCTGATGCCCTCAGTACAGAATGTTTGCCTAACATAGACAAATCCCAGGGTTCCTTACCCAGTACCACAAACGAAAATCGGAACATAAACTCTATCCAAATCCAGGCTGGCTACCTAAGTAAGTATACAAGGGTGTAGAAAAACCAGATCATACAGGAGGAGGTCTACCTTTAAAAGGCAGAACCTGTACTGGTGGGATTTGCAGATCTATACCTTTATCTGCCCTGCCCCCCTAACGAATCAACATTGAAGCAGGAAAGTGTTCTGCTCAGATCGCGGAGTCCCTCTGAGACCACCAAAGAATCTGATTTGTATTAAAAAGCAAAAAGCCTTTATTCATTCAAGCTCAGGACTGAACCCTTCCTGTGTCCAACCCGGCGGTAGAAACTGAGAGTGCCCAGCCTGGGCGGGATAAGGGATTTTCTTATATCATAGTAGAGACTGGGGGTGAGGGGATTTTCAGGGTTCAAGACCCTGATTGACTGACGTTGGTCGCGGGTTGTCTTGGAGGAAGGGAATGAGTGCAGGCTGGGTTCAAGGACATATGGTGCTCTTACTTAATCTTATCTAATGGCTGTGATGTTTGGAATGTCAGATACTTCCGCTTAGATGAGATCCCACCCCCGGGTGGTTCCAGTTAGTTCCAGGGGATCAGATATCTTCTTCTGGTCTCTAAGAGTCCCAACCATGCAAACACAATGAAAATAAAATTTGTTTAAAATGTTTTGATCTCTTGCCCTCTCGTTCCCTTCCTCTCCTCCTCTCAGAACCTGACATTCCAATGGGTCATATCTATCTGAAAAGTGGTCCTCTAGTTAGAAGCTCCTAAGCCTGTCTGCAACTGAACTCACCCCTGAAGCATTGATGTTTCAGTCTGGACTTCCTATGTTCCTTTCTCTCTGGTTTCCGCCCACCATTCATTCCTTTTGAACTCTCTCCTGGTCCCAACGCCTCTATTTTTCACTTCTGGGGCCTCCCTGTCTTCCCAGGACAAAGCCTTGGACGTCTCTGGCTCCTCCTCCATCTTATTTGTGGAGTTCTGGGCTGGTTCTCAGGAGGGAAGTCCCAGCACAATGGGAGCAGGAAGGAGCTCTGTAGTCAACCTGCAGCCTTCTGTCGCGAGTCAGAGTCCTTCAGCACTCAAGGGAGGGACGCATCTGTGTTTGCGTGGATTTGGGAAGCACTCAGACCCTGAACCTGACACAATTTTGAATACTGAGCCAGAGGCTCTAGTAGCCAAAAGCTTTGGACCATGGGGAAGTTTTCGCGGGAAGCTAGAGAACTGGGGTCGTCTGTCTTCAACATCATGGCCACACGAGGGCGCTGCTGCTCTATCCTCTTAGATTGTGTAAGCCTGGAGAGAGCAGGTTTGTTTGGGAATCAGCCAGAAAGGGCCTACTGAAGGCTGGGCCAGGGAGTAGGGGATTAAGATACATCTGCGTGACCAGGACTACACAGTAGTTGAAAAAAAGTAGAGCTGTTATAAGGCATCCTGTTGTGTCTCTTAGTATTCCCCTACCCGGCTCCTTGATGTCAACATTACTTTCCACTTTTCTGTTCTATCCCTGAGGGTTTGGGGACCTGGGGGGAGGGGCGTGCTCACATACACAGAGGAGCAGAACTGGAAATTCAACCCACTCAACCCAGGGCATAGACTAAGCAAGGAACACTCTAGCCCCTGAGGACTATTTTGTAAACATGATCTTTTAAATTTTAGAATGTATGGGGCTGGAGAGATGGTTAAGAGCACTTATAATCTTGCAAAGAACCTGAATTTGATTCTTAACACCCGCATCAGATGGCTCACAGGAAGCCAGTACCTCCAGCTCCTCTCTCTCTGTTTCTCTCTCTGTCTCTCTCTCTCTCTCTCTCTCACACACACACACACAAATAAATCCTAAAATAAATTAAAATTTAGAATGTTTTTAGATTTCTAAAGAAACTGCAAAATTGAGGCACAGAGCCTCCAGTTTCTCTGTTTAAAGCATCCTACAAGTCTGGAGATACAGATCAATGGTTCAGAGCACTGTCTGCTCTCGCAGAGGACCCAGTTTCGGTACAACACTCACATGGAGGCTCACAGTCATCTTCTGGCCTCCAGGGCACTGTGTGTATGCGCTCCCCATGAACTCACGCAAGCACACACGTACATGAAAATAAATCTCGCATCACCATACATTTATAATTCATGAAATGATATTGACACATTGATCTATACCTATTTCATTTATACTCTGATTGTTACTGATTTCCTCACTTTTCTAGGATACTATCCAAGGCACCACACATTCAGTCTCAATTGATCCTTAAGACTTCTCTGGCTGTCACAATTGCTCTGACTTTCCTTGGTTTTGATAACCTTGACACTTGATGTTGTTTGACTTGAGTTTGACTGGGACCATGCTTTTAAGAAGCCCAGAGAGATGAAATGCTGCCTGCACTGTGTCAAGCTACCTCTTGACTTGCGCTGGGCAAATACCTCTAAGAGTGGCCACTGTGTACTGTAGAGAGACTGCTGGATATCTCCCCCATCGTGGCTGTACGGTTTGTATCCCTGTCACCAACAAAGGAGGGCTTCTGTTACCCATAATGATTACTAGTACTTGCTATCAAATTTCTTTTCTCATCTCTGTTACCAAGTATTTTAGGAAGTGATGTAAGGGAGGAAAGGTTAATTTTGTTCATGGCTGATCATCGCGGCGGGAAGGGAAGCCTGCAGTTTGCAGTGGTGGTGGTGAGAACTTGTTTCCCATCTAGGTGGGTCACAAAGCAAAAACAGCAGCCACAGAGCCCAGCTGACTTTCTCCTTTTCCCATTGTCATTCAATCCGAGGGCCATTCATATTCAGGGTGGGCCTTCCCGGCGGTAAAAGTTCCCGCATGGGTACGCCCAGAGGTATGATTCTAAACCCAAAGGAGATGACAAAGAAGATTTATCAGGGTAATTAGAGAAATGACTCAGCCCTTAAGAGCACTGATTGCCCTTTCAGAGACTGGGGTTCAGTTCCCAGGATGCACTTGGCAGCTCACAACTGTCAGTAACTCCAGTTCCAGGAAATCAGACACCATCACACCAATGCACATCAAATAAAATTAAATAAGTTATTTTTGAAAAAGAAGATTAATCATAAGTCCATCCCAGGTCAATTTTACACCCAAACTAGCACTTTAATCCATAATATTCTACCCTTAGATCCCACAAAGTTTCAAATCCATGTCATTATTTAAAATGCAGATGGTTGCTGGGAACAATACAGCTCCTCTGGAGGACCAGTAAATGGTCTCAACAGGGAACCATCTCTCCAAACCCAGTTTCCACAGTGTAAACAGCTCAAACATTCAGAAGTCTAAGTCCAAAATCTCCTTTGAAGCTCAAGGCATACTCTTAACTGTGATCCCTGTTAAAACAAAACAAAACAAAACAAAACAAAACAAAACAAAACAGAAACAGTAGCTGGGTGGTACTGGCACAGTCTTTAATCCCAACACTTGGGAGGCAGAGACAAGGGAATCTCAGTGAGTTTGAGGCCAGCCTGGTCTACAAAGCAAGTTCCAGGGCAGCCAGAGCTGTTGCTCAGAAAAACCCTGTTTCAAAAAAAAAAATACAGAAAAAACAAACAAACAAATAACAACAACAAAAACAAGCGGTGGGGGACTTAGATACTCCAATATTAGCATAAAGTAAATATTTCCATTTCAAAGGAAAACAAGACGAGTGGAAAGATGGCAAAAGATTGATATTTTGGTTTGCTTTAAACCCAGCAAGGGCAAGGTAAACACTAACTGCTGCAGCTCCGTG